AGAGGAGGGAGGGATGCACAGATGGTGGAAGAAGGAGGAGGAAGCTTGCGGACGGCGCCGCACTACAAGCCTCGAGTATTAGATGCTCCGCATCTAAAACGAAGTTCTTCGTGTTGTAGGGACACCCTCGCAAGCGCGTACGGAGTAGTAGGAAACGAAGGCAAAGTCGTAAAGTTTCCGCTGACTGGTTGCTGCCCGTCCCATCTCGTACATTCTCGTATAGTGATACAGACCATCTTTACTGCAACGTGGTGTATCCGTCATGACGCGCGAATACTTATACCGAGAAGAACCGATGAACAGTTCGCAAAAATGGTTCGCAGTGGACAGTTCACAATAATGGTTTATTTACTTTCGCTCCAGGGGCGCTCTCGGAACAGACAGGGCTTTAAGGATGGTTCTCGCTACCTTCAGGTTACAGCCAATGCGTTGTAATCCGTTGTAATCGCTGCAACAAAGTAACCTAAGTACATCCATCAAACTAGTTCAAAACCGCGCAATTAGATTCATCTATTGAGGTTACTCATGTCAAACCAGTGTTACTACCCTTAAAAGTAAGGCAGGTTTACCTGACCTAGGACTACGCCGTAATATTTTCAGACTGTCTTTGTATTGCGTATCATTATAACTCCTCCATATCATTCGCTTCACTATAACTCCCCCAATAAACCAGCCCATCGTACTTCAGCCCGCCGAAGTCACCACAAGGCTGTCTAGTCTACCCACCTCCTGCCTGCACCACAGCCCACCATCATTCCTTCTTCGCTGAAGCAGCCAGGCACTGGAACGATCTTCCCTCAAGTGTCATCGACCATTCCAACACAGATACATTTAGTAATGCCACAGAATCGTTGTTTTATTAACCCTATATTGTTTGCCCACTCCCTCATGTTAAGCGCTCTGCTGAGGTTCTTTGACGTATATTAAATAAACATATAAATAAATAACAATCGGATATGCGGTGGTCTTCAGAAGATCCCGTTCAGTACTCGTATTTCTCGTATCTCTTTTGAAGTCGTATTTTATTTTCTGGAACGCAAAATTTGGTAACTGCTGTGATATTGTTCATGAATACTTACCACATGAAATGCCTTATTATTTCTTTTACTTTATTATTATTCACACTGAGCCTAATGCGGACGGCTGAAAAAATCACAGCATATACACGGAGCGAATAATGGTGAGTGGGGCGAAGCGTCGGTCAGTCCGTCCGCACTTCCGTCCATCCGTTCGTTCTTGCTTCCGTCCATCCAAGCGTCCGTCCATGCATTCATTCATGCATCTGTCCGTCCATTCGTCCATCTGCTTGTCGGTCTATTTGACCATGCGTCCATTCGTTCATCAGTCCGCCCATCGAGTGAATGCTACAAGTACCGCAATCTCGCATCTTTTCATCATATATTCATCATATCGTAGTACCGCCACCCATCGGACAGTCCAAGGAATAAACGAGAGGTGCCTACCTACTACTACGACGACTGATACTACTACTACTCATACATCACGGACGCACGACGCATGGCTTAAGAAGCTTCGCCCCTAAAAAGTATTCAAGGCATAAAACCTAGAATCAAAGCCTCTGCCAATCGTGAGTGCGTAGCCTCGATCTGTAGTTGTTCTTCTTACCGATACGCTGGTCCGTCGAATAAGTAGCGTCATGTTGTAACAGAGAAGAAGCATGATGATAGTTATAGCGCGAGAACAAAACGACGACACAGGGACAAGAAGGACTCGAAAGACACGAGCGCTATGTCGACACAGCCATACCAACTAGCCCAAGCTGCCACACTTCTAAGAGAAGAAGCTTTTATCTATGTCCGCATCGATAGAACAGTGGCTAGGGTTCTCGGCTGCTGACTCAATGGTAGCGGGTTCGATGCCTGCTGTGGCGGTCACATTTTGATGGAGGCGATATGGTAGAGGCCCGTGTACTGTGTGATGCCAGTGGAAGTTGAAAAACACCAGATGGTCCAAACTTCCGGAGCCCTCCTCTACGACGTCTCTCATAACCATATAATGGTTATGGGACGTAAAATCTAGATATAATTATTATTATTATTAAACAAGCCCTTGACATTTATAACTCCTTGTAAGAGCAAGCATACCAGCGCTTCAATGTTCAAGACACATTGTTAACTAAAACAACGAACCTATATAAAGAGTCATAACGAAGGTAAGGTTTTGAGGACTTGGCATTCGAAATCGACATTGGTTGTGGAGCTTTTATGGTGAACCCCTACACGCGTGTCGGCCGCGGACATTTAAGACACCTTGTTTCTTTCTTGTCCCCCTCCTCCCTCATATTGCACTACCTCCGCGATCAGCTCCCCTTGGACCAAGTGACGGCGTCTTGTGATGACGTCATGCTGTGTGACGTCGAAATGACGTGGTAGTGAGTAATTGTCAACGTCATCATCACGTCAAAATAGAGAGTTTTAGTACTGCGTACGCTGCGTACGTGGCGGCGTTGCGTACGTAAGGACGCCACGTTCTGCGTAGTGCGCATGCGCAGACCGCAACGTGCACGTATCGCGTTACGTACGCAGCCGCTACATACGCACGCATGAGATGCGTGCGTACGTATGAGCTGATCGCGCCGCTCTCGAACAAGTTCGCGACAGCGCGAGACTTCGTTTTGCAAAATGGCGGCATCGAAGGCAAGCACCGACCGGCTCTGTGGCTTAAAATATGACCATAATCTGGCTATAACACTTGGATTGGCTCACATTGGCTGTCACCAACACGTGCTTCTATTTTGTTCTACCAGATGACGCAACACGCTTCACGCTCGTTACGTACGCGGGTACTACGGCGTACTAAAAGCCGATTAGTGGCAAACGACGCCATGTAACGCAAGGCGCTTGCGTGATGCGTACGTAGCACCATTCCGCAGTACTAAAACTCTCTAATGACGTCTTGTGGGGACGTTACCACGGGATTATGATTTCTTTTTCCATCTGTCGTGCTGACGCCGACAATGATGATCAAATTTTGCGTTTGGTTAGTTGTCTAACGCTTTCGCCTTAATATATGTGCGAGCCTGTTCGAAAGCTACCGGATTTTCTCTCGCTGTACAAGGACTCTACGGATGAGAAGTAAGAACGAACTTCGTTCTTACTTCTCATTTCTCAACACGCACAGTCAGTGACTGGGCGTGTTGGTAGTGCAAATATTTAAGTGTAAGGTGCAACGACGACAAAAAAACAGAAGGAGGAGTGTGCGTATGTATATCCCTCTGTCTGCTCATGCCGCAGCTTACGCTAAAAGGATAACAATGCTGGCCCTCCCGTAGTCGAGAATATATTGCTAGTATGGGATGTCTGCCGGCTAAGCGAATTGTTTGGAGGTGATACTACACTCTTAAAATGGGCATAGTCCATGTTGGCAATGGCATCCGCACCACACCATGGTGTGCACTGGTCTATATCAACGTCACTATTTCTTGTCACTTTGCGGGATAAAGCATGGGGAGCGTGCGAATTTCAGCTTGTTGGTATAGATCCGCAGTGGGAAACAGTGCCATACAAGGATGGGAAAGACCAACCAGTATAACGCTTGTCCCGTTTGGTCTTTATTGGCCTTGTTGTATCGCGCTGTGTTCCACAATGAATAAAGTTTGCTCTTTGATTAGGCTTAGATCACGCAGTCACAGCGCCACGCAGGCCTGCGCGTATGCAGACCACATAGAAGGGTCACATAAATTAACCACCGTGCTGCATTTGTCAGCGAAAGCAGGATGACGCAAGCTCTCGAAATGGTGAGAAAACCGGTGCCTTAAAGGTCTTATTACTGGTTGCCCGGATGTCTAGTTTTCTCCACGCTTGACTGCCCGGACATCCTAGTTTGAATTGCGGGATAACGGGGCTCGCTTTTGACTAAAGGTCATTCGAACGTGCCGACAGTGGCAGGTAAAAGAATGTCGTGCTTCTCAGTGAACGAATATTGCTCGCTGGCGTTGGATGTCTAGACGTGATCAAAGTTGGTGCTCACAATTAGATATACTTACGAGGGCAAAAAAAGACGAAACACACACACACACACACACACACACACACACACACACACACACAGAGCACTGTGTATGTGTGTGTCTCTACTTAAAGGGCCCCTCAACCACCCCGAGTCAAGCCGAGTCAGTAGTTTCTTTCTCGCCTTCAGTACTCATCCTACAAGTGCTATCTCATCCTTGCCACGTATTTCTTCATAAACGCGTGGATTGTCGGCACGGAGAGTTGAGCTAGTCGGAATTTCGCGCTTGTCGACTACACGCTGCTACCTCAGCTTGCGCAGTCGCAAACACACACACAAAAAAAAACGAAACGAAATCAATTTATCGCTCAGAACCGCCATATGACAGCATGCTAAGGTAGAGCACGAAACAATTCACAGCACACATATCCCGCATATTGACCAATTGAAAGCTCCTTTTATCCTAACGTCACCAGTTAGGCCACGAGACCGGGAAACGCAAGAAGAATAAAGCACTCGTTTTTTTTTTTGTATCATTAAAGACTGCTTAGAGGCCCATTAAGTGTTCCGTCTTTTCGCGCTCTTGAATTTGTAGCGTTATTTGTAGTGTTATGACTCTTTCTTTATTGCTGTACAAGTATGTACTCCATTTACTCTGTACAAAAACAATGTTACGCATGCATTATTAGTGTGTTATATTGTATTTCTTTGACCATGCTCTGAGTGGTGCTTTCGGGCACTTGGGTCCCGTCGGGCAGAAGACATCTGCCTTTTGCCCAGTATCCGAGACATACATTTGTCTGAAATAAAGAGCTGAATGAATGAAAGAAAGAATGAATGAATGAATGAATGAATGAATGAATGAATGAATGAATGAATGAATGAATGAATGAATGAATCTTAGACATGAACCAACTCACCCAAGCAGCAGTTTCAGCACAGCTCAAAAGCTTACCTCTCGTTCCTCGCTAAATTACAGCGTTTTTTTAACACCCTGTGAACCGACTGTTTTTTTCTTTCGTTCGTCGCAGATCAGTGGCATCATCACCAACACGGGCCACGGCGTAATCTTCCGCGTGTCGGACAGCCTGGCGCCTGGCCTCGCGGTCAACATCTCGGGAGGCCCGCTCTCCTACCAGTACCGCTTCCACGAACTGCACATTCACTACGGCCGCTCTGACGACCGCGGCTCCGAGCACACCATCGCCGGGAAGCCATTCCCTGCCGAGGTGAGCCGCCCTAATAAAGATCATATTAGATAGATAGCTAAATAGCGAGATAGATAGCTAGATAGATAGCTAGATAGCGAGATAGCTAGATAGCTAGATAGCGAGATAGATAGATAGATAGATAGACAGACAGACAGACAGACAGACAGACAGACAGACAGACAGACAGACAGACAGACAGACAGACAGACAGATAGATAGATAGATAGATAGATAGATAGATAGACAGATAGACAGATAGACAGATAGACAGATAGATAGACAGACAGACAGACAGACAGACAGACAGACAAGACAGACAGACAGACAGACAGACAGACAGACAGACAGACAGACAGAAGATAGACAGATAGATAGATAGATAGATAGATAGATAGATAGATAGATAGATAGATAGATAGATAGATAGATAGATAGATAGATAGATAGATAGATAGACAGACAGACAGACAGACAGACAGACAGACAGACAGACAGACAGACAGACAGACAGACAGACAGACAGACAGATAGACAGATAGATAGATAGATAGATAGATAGATAGATAGATAGATAGATAGATAGATAGATAGATAGATAGATAGATAGATAGATAGATAGATAGATAGATAGATAGATAGACAGACAGACAGACAGACAGACCAGACAGACAGACAGACAGACAGACAGACAGACAGACAGACAGACAGACAGATAGATAGATAGATAGATAGATAGATAGATAGATAGATAGATAGATAGATAGATAGATAGATAGATAGATAGATAGATAGATAGATAGATAGATAGATAGATAGATAGATGGACAGATAGATAGAGAGATAGATAGATAGATAGATAGATAGATAGATAGATAGATAGATAGATAGATAGATAGATATAGATAGATAGATAGATAGATAGATTTCTCGTTTAGCTTACTAAACACCTCGTTTTTTGTCTCATTTGAAGAAGCTTTGATTCCAAAGTATTTCGATGTATGCACAAATTCTGCTTTCTCCTTCGCGTTTGTTTGTTTTGTGTGGTACACGCGTTCAGATTTTTATGCTGCAACAGTTTTCACGTATTCCTTTTTTTTTTTCAACGCAAGCTTCATGACTGAACATAATAAAGACAAAAATTTCGTTTCCATGCACGCGAAGGATTTTTTCTCTCTTCACTTCATACCGGTGCAACATCGTTATTTCGTGATTGCGCTATTTTCCCCCAATGGCCAGGTGTACACACATACCCGACGCTTTTGAATACGCCGAGCCTAAATTGAGTTAATTTAACTCTAGCTGGAAACGGGAATCTTAGATTAAACATTTCCAGACTCCCCTTCCTCTCTCTTACTTTTCTGCAGGAATATATGCGTGGGAGTTCTGAATGTTCTTCATAATATGACCCAGAAGCGCAATCAGGCGTCCGTGCACGACGCGTCAAACGTGTTCAGAGCTTAAATATTTAGCTCCCAGGATGCAAAATTGTGCGAATGCTTGAACGGCGTATATTTTATGCATATGAAGTGGCACATGTTTGGGGGAGTAAGGTGCTTCTGTGAACTACCTGTGTCTATCAAGCAACATGTAGGGAACTTTCGATTTTGCTTTGTCTTCTTAATCTTTTTTTACACACAAAAAAGAACGGTTGATTGATGGTGCGTTCACAGCGCAAAGTTATTTTACCCGTCAAATATTCGATTTATTGACAAAAAAGGAGGCTGTGGCGCCCTACTTTGGTAGAGCATAAAGGTGCGATACGCTGTGCTCAATAAAAAAAGGTAGCGAGTTGTTCCAAGGTTGTTCCACGGTCTTTCAGTGAATATTTTTTTATGCTTTTCGGGGAGTGAGAAAACATTACAATTTTTGTTCGGCCTACTTTCAAGAAACATTATTTGAGAAATTTATGAGGTTGGTTCGTTCACTTCTCGAATGAACAGGTGTAGTTATTTATATGTCCTTGCAGTTATCTATATATTTTTTTTCATTGGGCAACCCAGAGAGTTGCCCTAATGCAACGTTCTGCGTTAGGGTATGAGCTGATAGTATTTCAGCGTCGAAAAGCACTTAAAGCATGCAAGAAGCCCGGAGTAATTATGTAGTAAGCATTCTTAAGATAAACGCGCTAAAAAGGATGAAGCCCGCCACAGTATTCTCGTGCTTACAGTGCACGGCTGCTGACTAGAAGGTCGCCGGATCGAATCCTTGCCGCTGCGGCCGCATTTTCGAAGGAGCCGAAAATGCTCGAAGCCAGCGGACTTCTACTTGAGCGGACGTTAACAAGCCCTCGGTGGTCGGAATTCCCGGAGCCCTCCATTACGTCGTTTTCTTTTTTTTTCCACAATTACGTCGTGGTTTTAGGCGTTGAGCCACAACAATTATTATTATCGAAAGTTTCGAAAAACAACTCCCGCTGTTTACGTGCAGAAACAACTATAGGATTACGAGACACACCGCTGTGAAACACTGCGGAATATCTTTTTTTACCAGCTCAGTATCCTTGATATGAGCCTCATTTTAAATACATAAATGTTGCTATAATTCTCCCACATTGAAATTTGGTGGACCAGGCAGGCAGTTGTGCCCGCATCGTCGAACTCACCAGCGCGACATTTTATGAGCTTAGCTAAATACGAAGAGAGAGAGGTACTGTGAATGAGGGAAACACACTTTTTCCGGCGTTTATATATCGCTGGCATGCTACTCTAAATAGGGATAGAGAGGAGACTGAAAGATTGTATATATATATATATATATATATATATATATATATATATATATATATATATATATATATATATATATATATATATATATATATATATTATATTATGAGACCACGTCCGGTACGGCAGCAACCAGCAGGTTATCTTTTTAATCCAGACGCACGAGCCAGAGAGCCAGCCCGCGTGACATACGATGATGATCACTACAATGGTTTGGTCATACAGATGAAGATGAAGTACATAGTCAGCGCTCACACTATTTTCCCACCTTCGCGAAAGAGGGCAGCAAGTTAGAAAGGGTTGGGACGCCAAATATATCGTTTCAGTCGAGAGACGTGGGCGATCTCGGTGTGGCGGCGACGGCGATCAGGAGCCGCGTTGACAGGAGCAACGCGATAGTTGACTTCAGATGTTCGTTCCAGGACGGTGTATGGACCGAGATATCGGTGAAGGAATTTTTCGCAGAGCCCAGGTACACGAACAGGTGTCCACAAAAGGACTTCGTCGCCTGGGCGGAACACAACAACTCGACGCTTCGCATCAATGTCGATTTTTCTCTTGTCCTGAATGGTACGGGCGATTTCACGGCAGCGGGCGACGCGAGCGGTGAACTCTTCCGGGAGAGATGAAGATGGATTGGAGGATGTGGACAAAAAGGTGGTGTCCAGAACAAAGGTCGGTACACGGCCATACACGAGAAAAAAAGGGCTGAAATTCGTCGTACGCTGTATCGCAGTGTTATATGCGAACGTGACGAAAGGAAGTATTGTGTCTCAGTTTTTGTGATCCGGTTGCACGTACATAGAGATCATGTCGGACAAAGTTCGGTGAAAACGCTCCGTCAGACCATTAGTTTCTGGGTGATACGCTGATGTGGTCTTGTAGATGGTGTTAGAGGCCTGTAAGACTTCAGCAAGGACATGTGAAAGAAATGTCTTGCCACGGTCACTGAGGAGCACACGCGGTGCGCCATGTCGTAAAATAATGGCGCGAAGTAAAAAATCGGCTACTTCAGAGGTAGCACCAGATGAAAGAGCTGCCGTTTCCGCGTAGCGAGTAAGGTGGTCTACGGCAGTAACAATCCAACGATGACCGGCTGGCGTAAGCGGGAGAGGTCCGTATAAGTCTATGCCCACAAATTCAAAGGGAGTGGACGGGCACGGCAGTGGTTGCAATGGCCCCGCGGGAAGAGACGTGGTACGTTTTCGGTGCTGGCATGACGCGCAGGAAGCGACGTACTTGGCGACAGAAGTGGAGAGGCCAGGCCAAAAGCAGCTAGTCTTGAGGCGGTCGTAGGTCTTGTGGAACCCTAAGTTGCCAGCTGTCGCATCTTCATGAAACGCTTGTAGAACTTCCAGACGAAGTGAGCGAGGAATGACGGGAACCCATTGGTTACCGAGAGGATGGTAAATTTGCCGACATAATGTTCCCTCTTGAAGCTTGAAACGGGCAAGTTGTCGTCTTAGGCGGCTGTTTGGATCACGCGATAAGCCAGTGAGCCGATCGATGATTGTGCGGCAGTAGGTATCGGCATGTTGGAGCGAGGCGAGATCTGTGGACGAAGAAGGTCCGCCGAGGCAACTAACTGTTTCGAAGCAGCAGCCGTCTGTTTGGTCACTTTGGCGAGCGGTGACGAAGAGATAGGAGGTGACACTTCGACACTTTGCGAGAGCGGGCAACGGGACAAAGCGTCGGCATCTTGGTGCTCTCGGCCCGACCTATATGTGACGCTGTAGTCATACTCTTGCAATCGTAGTACCCAACGGCCAAGGCGCCCCGACAAATTTTTGCGAGACGATAACCAACACAGAGCATGATGGTCAGTCACTATTGTGAAATGCCGGCTGTATAAGTAAGGACGAAACTTTTGTATGGACCACACGATGGCGATACATTCTTGCTCAGTGATGCTATAGTTTCGCTCAGCAGGTGACAGAGTACGACTCGCGTAGGCCACGACTTGTTCTTCGGAAGCGTGGTTCCGCTGAAGAAGGACAGCACCGATGCCAAGTCCACTTGCGTCAGTGTGTAGCACAGTAGGTGCTGCAGGGTCGAAATGGCGAAGCACTGGCCGTGATGTGAGGCATCGCTTGAGGGTGTGAAAAGCGGCTTCGCAGTCATCCGACCAGACAAAGGGTGCGCTCGTGGTCAGAAGTTTGTGCAGAGGAGCCGCAATAGTAGCGAAATCACGTACAAAGCGGCGGAAATACGACGCTAAGCCAAGGAAGCTGCGGAGGTCTTTCTGTGTGGTTGGTGTAGGAAAGTGCAGTACCGCGGCAACCTTGTCGGGAT